AAAAAAAAAAAAAAAACTTTTTAAACAATCTGTCTTCATGGTTTGGTTGAACTGACTCTTTGTCTTGAATTATTATTAAATAAAATATTGTTGTATTGAAGGTGTAATTGTTTCTGCAAGGATGTAAGAACGTATTTTGACCTTTAATCTTGATGCAGAAAGCCACAAATAATGGAGCACCTCTTTACATTAACCTCCGATTGCCTCCCACAAACATCGGAGTAGGAGATGACCTACAAGTTCATGTGTTTCCCATTCAGGAACTGCTTTTTCAGGAAAAGGTTGACCTCTCCTGTAGCTACCTATGTCAAGAGCAGACTTTTGTTCACAAGGTCAGTGTAAGTGTCCAGCAGCTGTCTCAACATACAAGATGTGCTTAACACAATGTTACTGGAGCTTTCTGTTGGCTGGATGGTCAGAAGGTCAAAGAAAAGTCAACAGTGAGCAAAATGTGAAGCGACATTCAGTAGTTAAACAGTCCTGAACAGCTTAACTGATCCTGAGGACACCACCTTGCTAAAATAGTCATATCACTTGAGACTTAAAGCATTTTATTAGAATTTTCTCATAATAGTAACTGTAAAGTGGAAGCAAACAAGATGAAGTTGAGATAGATCTTTAATTTACTAGTTAACCTAAAATTCTTTTTATTTTCCGAATCATAAAAGGGAGCTAGGATACCCCAAAAGGACACCTTCAGATCAGATATTGTTGTCAGACTAAATATTAGATCAGTGAGCATTACTCCAATCAGCCTCATCCAGTCATATTCAGAATATAATTATTGGTCTGATCAGCATTATCCTCTTTTCTCTGATACTGATTTTGAAAACTAAATAACATCAGATAAAGCAGAATCACATCAACCAGAGTCAGTAACATATTATCCAAGCTAAGTTTCTATGTGACGCATTGGAAAGTAAGCTAGGCTGCAAGTGCAGCCTAGCTGCAATGACAATGCAATGACATCTGTGTCATCGCACATGGGCTTCACATTTTATTTTACGAACCAGAGAACCAAAGAAAAAATGATATAAAATAAAAACAGAGAAACATATATAGAAGTTACAAAGGCACATTGTATTGATTGTACACTTCAGTAGCATTTAAAGCTTTTATGAATGTGCTTGTCTAAAACTGCATCTAGGTACACTTTACATCCTTTAAAAAGGTCAAAGGGGACCAATCAGTGTCAGACCATATCATAAAACGCGGCCGATGGACCCAGTATTCAAGGTGAGACAGCCAGTAGCAAAGTTCAAAACATTTATTAAAACAAACGGAACAGAAACCGGCTGTTGTG